AGGGACCAAAACCCCTCTCCTGCCACCAGAATCACCCCCCCCTCCACATCAAACCATGACATCGGTTTAAAGATTTGATGAAAGAATAAACTGCAGTTACTGAAATCGTTGCAGATACCATATGCCACTGTGTAAATGAAGCAACTGTGGAGGGCTTTGATCATTAAATTACAGTGTGCCCAACCCAGAAAGCTCTTAAGTGTCCATTGCGCTTATTTGGAAGCCTACAGGAGCAATGGGAGAGCTCTGAATTTGCATTCTGTGAAGCCACAGTGCCTTTCCAAGAATATGTCGAACAAAGGACTGCTCTGGAGGCCTGGCAGGGATCGCATCTTTCTGACATCTAAAGGCTTGTGAAGTAAACTAAATTTTCTTCCACACATTGTATTAATATGAAATAAAAATTGAATACTACAAACACGTACCTAGAACACAGAGAGGAAAACACTGGAAGGTTTACATGAGGCTCTTACTCATCTCCTATAATGAATTCTTCAGTAGGTATCATTTTTACATGAATATTCCAAGGACTTGTGGTATATTGTATCTGCTCAGCCTGTTTTGTTTTGGAGAATGTAAGCGTATCTGCACACATACAGATTCTCTTTAAGTACACTACTTTGGAATGATGTTATCACTGGCATATGTGGAAATTTAAATGTATACATTCCCCATTCTTTGCACAGAGAATGACAGTGTACTCAGTTCTGTTTAACTGCAATAGTAACATTATTTTCTCTTGCTTTAAAAACAACTTTTGTGTGTTTCTCTGTTTCAAGTGTTGTGGTTGTTTGTTGGTGTTGGTTTGCTAGGATTGGGTCTACGTTATAAAACTTACCAGAAGAAGTTGGGCCAAGGGGTGAGTATTGTGTTTGTGAAAATGGTAACTTCCAAATATAGAGTAAAATGCATCTGTGATCTCTTAGGTGTGTTCATTGGTGCTGAAGAAGTCTTTGTACCAGTATCCAAGTATTCAGCAACAATAATGCAGAAGTGAAGATGCAAAAAGTTCAATTTGTAAATTCATGTTGAACTCGGGAAATGTCTGTGTCTTTAGAGATTTATAGCGCTGTTATGAAGGAAAAAAAATATTCTGAAAAACTGAGAGATGCTTGCCTCATACACTCAGTTTGAACATTACTTTTATAAATGAGTTTATTTGGATCGTATTCAAAACTTGAGTGGACAGTGCTGTTAGCAGCCTGATCTTATGTCAGGGAAGTTTGAACAGATAACCTCCTGAGGTTCCTTCCAGCTGAAGGAATTCTATGCGTCTATATTTATATGCGTAACTCTGAATTGAACCTCTCTGAAAAGTTGGTTGACTTAGATTAGACTTAGACTAGTTACGGAAATTGGATGGAAATTGGAAGATTCCGGTTTTCTGTCTGACAGAAAAATAGATATTGCAATGATAGTAACAATGAAAATGCTTAATGCTCACGAAGTTCAGCATTTAGGTTACTTACAAGTTGTCTGAGTGTGTTGCTTGCATATTTAGTAATTTTAATTCAAAATTAAAGCTGTTTTGATCAGATATAAATTAACATGTTTCCATTCTGTAATTTAATTGATTACTAACATAAAATTAAATTTTTGATGCAGCTAGTTGCAATTATGCAGTAGATTTTTTTCTTTTGGTGGCAGGTTGGAAACATTCCTTTGAAACTTGCTCTCGATACATATTCCTGTTGGTAGGTTTTTTGTTAGAGAAATCACCGATGACAAATGCAGGAAAAGATGCAGAAAAGTTGATAAGAGCTAAGTAGGAACTGTGTGTGTGTGCGCATGTGTGTGCATATTCACACGTGCGCACAGACATATACAATTGGCTTTCTTTTTAGAACTCATCCAGGTTTGTAGTACCTTATAATATGGAAAAAAGTGGGTAGTTCCTCTTAGAAAGATGAAAAATTTCATAGTCTCTTTCATGTTCATTTATTTACTGTTACTTGTATGAATTAATTTTTATTATGATGACTTTTCTCCTCTTGTTAATAGCCGATTTTTCTCAAAAATACCTGAAGTCTTTTGTGACCCTGACAGCTTTATTAGAAAATATATTGGTTAAAACATGTTTTCTTGTGTGTTTTTTGTGGCATCATGTATCTGATGTTGTTGATTGCAAAAGCATAATACATAAAAATCAAATCGTACTTGATTTTTTTATTCTTTTTTTTTTTCCGAGGTTCCAAAAAGAGACTTCTCTGCTATGATCTGGCCTTTTAGATTCGGATATGACAATGAAGGATGGTCTAATTTGGAAGGATCAGCTAATTTACTTAATGAGACAGGTAACGTTTTTTTTCCACTTCATTTATAATTGAGATGGTTCATCTGAAGAGAGAGAACCAAGAACAGTGCTGGGTAACTGAGTCCATTCTTGCATTAACACAGGAACTTGTGTCTAGTGGCTTTCTCCTGAATTTGTGAGCTGTTCCGATACAATCACTTCTGTTAAAAATCAATTGCAGAGGTGATCTTTTTTGAAATGTATTTTAAAGACGTTTCTGGTTGGAGGAACACTTTATTATTTGTTTTTTGTTTGTTTGTTTGTTTTTTTTCATATTACTGATGAGTTACTTGACTACAGAGAAGTTCTTTGCATAAATGAAATAATGATAAATACCCTTTTAGATCAAGTTTAATGTTTTATAACTTGCCTGTGGTTTTCTTTTTCAAATGTGAAGCATTATATAATTCCTAAAGGATCTGAAATAAAAATGCCCTAACCACAATGTACAGAGGAGAAGAGACGAGTCCATTTCCATTGCTGAGCCAGACCAATGTAGAAAAGAAAAATAGTGATTGTAGCTTGGCTGAGTTGTCATGATTTTACTGTAAAGACGAGTCTCTAACCTGTTGTTCAAGGACAGGGTTTTGATTGAAAAATTTGCTATAGGAGAAGAACTTGCACCAGAGATTATTGCTGCTGCAGGGTGCACTGAAAGGAATTGACTAGTGGTACTTGTAGGTGTTACTTGTTTTCTGCAATACGCATGAGATAGGGAAGACTGGGAGCTGCCACTTTAAGATTTAAAGAAGCTGGAGCGATTAGGAAGAATGCATGCTGCTCTTCCGACATTTGTTGTTCTCTTCTCCTCCTGTGGTGTGAATGCACCACACAGCTTGCCTGAGCAGCTTAGGCTTGACAGACCCAAGCAGCAGGAAGGCACTGGCACAGGTGCTGCTGTGCAAGCCCTGGTTTTGTGGCAGAGAGGCTCAGGAGTTAGTGAAGAGGGAGCAGCATTCACTCTGTTGTCGCATGACCAAGGGTTCAGAGGGCTGATCTCTATAGGCTGTCTAGTGACACGAGAAAACGACTGGGACATTTGATGAATTGAAATGTGAGGCATTCTTGTACATACGTGATTCCATAGCTTATGGCTTATGTCTGGGTACTTACTTAATCTTTGCATATTTATTTATGAACTGTAATGAATGCATTGATTTCTGATACCTATAGTTTAAATTAATGAATATTAGAAAAAGTGATTCACCTTGTTGTGTCCATTGAGCATTTCTTTGTGGTAATGAAGTGTCACTTCTAAAAGAAGCAGCTGGTAAGTCAAAAAGACAGCAAATTCCAAAATATAAATGAATAAATCTTAGTTCCTGATTGCTAGAAACAGTATTCTGGAGTTTTATGTTATGTGTGTATTGTTGTGTAAAATACATTAACATTTCTGGGAAATGCATTAATGCATTCGGAAGTAAGCTGAAGATTCTTAAATTATTTATTTGCTAAAGAAGAGTAGCTGATTTTGAGAGCTGTAAAGAAAAGGGTAACTTCTTCAGCATAGGAGTTATCTTTAAAGATTGCATTCCTTGGGCTCATCTTCTCTCTATTGGAATAGTGACAATGCAACATGTAATGGCTTTTGTGACTGGAATTCCTGTCTGCCCCGCAGGGAACCAACATCAACCTCTCTCAATGGTTTTGGTCATTGTTTCTGTGGCCAGCATGTATGTTTATGATGTAGAAGCAAAAATCTGGGAATCCACTTAAAAGTGATCTGAGCTACTGTTTTCCCTGCTAATGTTGCTTTCGTAGTGCTAAATAAGATGTTTCAAAAGCAAAAAATCTTACTTTGCAGGAGTGGTGCTGGATGGAGCAGTCTTAGTTCCTTGTAGAAGGGCTGCGGATGAAGTGGGTCTCTCAATCTGCCTTCTAGAGTAGGAGAGCACTCCAAGCGGGGCATAATCACAGCAAGAAGGGAGCACTTGGTGCTGCAGCTGTACTAGCCTGCTGCTCAGGCTGAGCCTGGATGGTTCAGCCAGCCTGTGGCCAGCTTACAGCCTCCCACCTTCCTTCAGGCATGGGCAGGTCTTTCTTAGCTGCCAGTTCCTTGACGGACCACATAGCTTTTCCTGTATCCTGCAGCTAAAATATATGAGAACCTGTCATGTTCCCCTGACAAAGCCACACCTCAGCATGTAAACAGGGAGGGACCACAGTGCCCTGAGAAAGTGAGGTGGCTGCTGATGGTCAACAATTCACCAGAGCTGGGAGCCCTTCTGTTACCATGCCTGGGGGCTAGGTTGCTATGGGCTAATTAATTGTTTTGGGAGCAGTAGCCTGCTCTCTCTTGCACAGGACCCTTTGGAGCAGAATAGGATTTGGCAGATGAAGGTAAACGCAGATGTGCTGTGTAGCGCTTGTTCAGCAAGTTGAAAGCAGTATACTCACTACTGTGCTGTTAATCTGTGTATGCGCATTATGTCCAATGTTTTTGAAATGGTCTGCACTAGGTACGTGCATAAGATTTGCCCTGATTGACTCCTGAAGAGCTTGTGTCCATCCCTGTGTAGTCAAAAGGCAATGACATTACGTAGTCATTTATAAATCACTATTATAAATCCACATTTATAAATCAGTTATAAATTTGGAAAGATTTTCTTTTGTACTCCTCATTTTAGGTGCAGATTTTATCACTATTATAGAGAGTGATGCCTCTAAACCATTCATTGGGAACAACGATCCAACAATGTGGCTAGGAGAAAGACTAGGATTTTACACAGATTTTGGTCCAAGCACAAGAGATCACACTTGGGGGTGAGTCATCTTTACATGTACAGTGCCAGTAAATAAATGTAAATACACTACCCAGTACTGACTCCACTAGAACATGGGCAAAGAATAATTGGAATAATAATCACTGTAATCACCTGTTGGAGCTTGTCTTGGAAAACACACTGTGATTCCCTCGCATTGCAATGCAGTGCAGATGAAGTTTTCTCACTGTTAAAAATGGTCAGGTTTTGGTGCCTGGCCCTGTAAGCTGCTTTGGTTTTGGTGATGCAGAGAATGGCATCCTGCCCCTTCATGTACGGATTTGGAAGTCTGGCATTCTAAGTACTACATCTGATTCACTTTTCTCATTGTTTTGTTTCGGGCTCTGAGAACTTTACATTTCAGACTTGAAAATGTGATAGCAGTTGGAAAATGTAAATGCACCTGAATTTATTAGAAATTTTGAATTCATTAAATCCAGCTTGGGCTGCATAGTGGGAAGTGGGCGTAGAAAGGCACATTTTTTGACCAGATTTTTTGTGTCTGTTTTTACTTTAACGCTAGACCAACTACCGGTTGTATATCTTTGAATATCTTTGCCCTCTGGAAAACAGTGGTGTATGATGTGGCTTTTTTTTTTTTTTTTCAGGGGAATATGCAGATTTCTGTGGGGGATGGAACTTCCTAGTGATGTTGCAATAGATATTTCATTTTTGCCACGTGTGAGGGAAATTTAGTAACTTTCCTCTTCCAGAGCCTGTGTCTTTAAGTGATACAAAATGGGGCAGAAGAGTCATCATCTGAAATTTTCTTCATGAAATATTCTAAAAAAACTGATGCAAAATGGTTTTAAGGTTGATTCCAAACAGAAGCTGAAAGAATGAGAAATCTCCCACTTCAAAGATGTGTTTCTATCTGCTTCTACTTCTAATAACATAAATTTTAATTACTGGTAGTATAAAATTCTGTTTTGTCTGAGGATGCAGATTTTGAAAGGCTCAGTGTAAGAATTCATATATAGGGAATGGTATTTCTTAGTGTAGGAATGAATTTGATAATACATTTTTAGACATGTATTTAAGTAATATTTTGGAGGAAAACCTTCAAAATTCAGAAAAATCCGCTAGAGATGGTTTGTGCTCTGGTCTGATGGTGTGAGTTCAGTGACTCTTAGTCTTCTGCTCACATTTATCTGCCTAGTTCACACTTGTGATGCTTGTGAACTACAGTGTGTAACTGTTTCTCTCTTCTCATTTAGGATCATGGCACTATCAAGGTATCCAATTGTAAAATCTGCCCATCACCTCCTTCCTTCACCAGAGGGAGAAATTGCACCTGCCATCTCCATGACTGTCAACTTCACAGGGAAACTCATTGATTTTGTTGTCGCTCACTTTGGAAATGAAGAGTACGTATTTTATTTTTACAACGAGGGTGGTGAAACACTGGAACAGGTTGCCCAGAGAGGTGGTAGATGCCCTGTCCCTGAAAACATTCAAGGTCAGGTTGGATGGGGCTCTCAACAACCTGATATAGTTGAAGATGTCTCTGCTTATGGCAGGAGGGGTTGAACTAGATGACCTTTAAAGGTCCCTTCTAACCCAAACTATTCTATGATTCTGTGGTTCTGTTTATCGTTACATATGTTGTACAAAGTCATGTAACATAATTGTAGTTTGTGAACTTCTGGGATTTCTTTTGTATTCTATAAAATGTGCTGCTGTAAAACTAGTTCTAATAAGGCACATTGGGGGAAATACTATGACATATCTACTGATTTAAAATTTTGAAGCATTTTTTAAAAGAGACAAATATGTCACACAAAACTCAGCTGAGCCTAATATCTGAGTTACTGGAGATGTAAAGATATAGTTCTGCAAAACCACAACAAGTAATAGGGCTACAGATACATCTCAGTGCAGGATAGCATCCTTTTGACTTTCTGCTTGTGGAGTAGATCTATTATATTCCACAATGAGTGCAGATAGTTACAGTTGCAGATAGATGGCATTAATGGACAATTGATGGTTATTAAAATAAAAAGTAACAATTCTGAAATCTCCAGGAAATGACAGTGTTGAAATAGCAATAAAAATATCCATTCAGTGTCCTTCTGACTGTATGAAACTGGAAATATGAAATGTGATCTCTGGATTCTGTAAGCAAAAATTATACCAATAACTCAAATATGTGATGTAAAATATTGTATATTTCAGTTCTTTAAAACAATGTCTTGATTACTTGTGTGTAATGAGTATTAATAAGGGATAGTTTTGTGGTGCTCCATGTGGCTGTATTTCCTGTTTTATTTGCTGCAATATCCAGTATTATGTTTGTGGTTATGTAGTAAGATTTGGATTTTTTTTATATGTGTTATAATTCATGAAGAGGCAAATTTATGGATTGGATGCAGAATATTATATGCAAAGAAGCTGCTCAGAAAGCAGTAGGAATTCACATTATCCCATACTGAACTTCCCCATTTCCTTCCCCTGTGTAGAAGCTGTTCTCCAAGCATGCAAATTGTTTCTAGATTTCCTTTTACTAAACACATATAGTTGTCAGAAATCAATCCCATATTTGCACTTTAGAAAGGGATTTCATTCTGTGCCTCACACAGATGATTAGACTTACCTCTCTGAGAAACTTCATCAAAGTAGAAGAAAATAGCACTCTATTCTCCTCTTACAGAGAGATGAGATAAAGATGAAAGAGAAAATAGGAGGAGACACTTGGGAAACGAGTGCAAATTAGATTGTGTTTTGAGGTGAATGAATCTGTAATTAAATCACACACACAACTGCTTGTTTTTCATCTTTTTTCATCTGCTGCTAAGGATGACACAAACTGATGAATACTGGATAACAGGAATTCTTTAAACACTGTTTTTTAAATATGGGAATATAGCAATGCCTATGTCATTTAAAGGAACTCATCTTCTGGGAAGGTGTAATTTTGGAAAGAACAGCTAGCTGAGCAGGCAACTTCACACATACCTAGGTCAGGCTTCTATTTAAACGGTCGGGGTTTTTGTCTCCTGTCTGTGGTGTCCTCTTTCCCCCTAAAGCTTTCACTTCAGTCAGAATTGCTGCTATTTAGAAAGCATTGTAGTGTTCAAATTCTTGTCTTCTTTTGGGATTTCAGATTCCAAAATGAACTCCCTGTCCCAATGGTATTCAGCCCAGTCTACCAAAACATAGAAGAGGACATGCTTTGCACAACTGTTTAAAGTTATTATCGTAAAGAATCATAGAAAGAGAACTGACTTCACATTAGGTTATGACAAATCCAAGGACAAGGAATGGGATCAAATACAGTATTTTACCAAGCTCCACTTACGCTCTCGCTTTTGGTCATATTGTAACTGTTGTGTAGATCTTGTCAGAGAGATGTAGAATACCTGCCAAATGTCATTAAGGAGTGTTAATGGGATGACGTAAATCTTAGGTTGTATTTCATAAATTATGTGACTCAGACTTTGAGACTATGTTTACCGTTATCTGTCTGTCATAAAAGTTTTGTTAGCATGTGAGCTCTTTGTATGCACCACTCTGTGGTAGCACAATTAAATTTCAAGTGCAGGCAGAGACAAAGCCTCGGATATCCAAAATATTTACATTCATATTTCCTAGTGATAAGATCAGTATCAAAACCAAAACAGTAATAGAAAAGGTTGTTCCTATAGTAGTTAGAAAGAGAACCCTAATTACATGCACCATGACCATGTGGCTTTTATTGAACATAGTGATAATTTTGAATCAGTGAGCTTTCTGTAAACTTTTGTTCTCTCTAGTACTGAACAATAAAAAAGGTACCAAATTTGTTTGTGGTTTACTATGTTACAGCACAAAGATTCAGAGCTAAAATGTATATATGTTAAAGTCTTTACCATTTCTTTCAGAGAGGACTTGGACAGAAAACTCCAGGCTATAGCTGTTTCAAACCTATTGAAGACTAGCTCTAAGCAAGTTGTATTTCTGGGATACATCACTTCAGCTCCTGGATCCAGAGATTATACAGAATTAATAGAAAATGGACATGTCCAGGTAATGTAAAAATGCTGCTTCCTTTAGTAGTTAGAGATAATATATATTTGAAACATTGAGCTTAATATTTCAAATTGGTGACTTAGAAATAGACATGTAAGAAAATACATGCACATGTTCAAATAGGGTCTTCAGCTCTTCATCTGACATGTTCTAGAGAAGGTGGAGTTACACAGTAAAAGGATAAGAGGCACTGGACAGCAGTTGCCACAAGGGAAATGTCAGATAGTAGAAGAAATGAAAAATAAAAATCACAGTTATCGTTGTCAGGCATTGAACAGGGGCCCAGAGAAGCTGTGAAATCTCCATCCTTGGAGATATTAAAATGTTGGCTGCATAAGTCCCTGAGCAACCTGCTTGAAGTTACTTTAAGTATGGGGTTGGGAGTGGGTGACCTCCAGACATTCCTTTCAACCTCTAATTCTGTGATTCTTTTGGTTTAAAACTGACTTCTGCAGTTTGGTTTTGTATTAGGAGATGTCAAAAAATTATCTATTTGTCTGTGTCTAACAGGGAGTTTTTTTCTTTCTACATTATTACAATGTTTTAGGCAGAACATTTTTCTGCAGCAGGTCTACGTATTGGTTCTGTTACTGATTTAAAGCCTGCCCATAAGGGAAGCTGCCTTATTTGTTTGAGTTTTTGTTTTTCCCTTTCACTTATAGGATATTGACAGTACAGATCATGACAGATGGTGTAGCTATATTATGTATCGCGGAGTAATAAGGTATGTTAAAGTGGATCATTTATTCATTAGTTTTAAGTATCTTCTTGACTATCAGTTTTACACCTTCTGTAGGTAATTGTGGAAGAGTCATATATCCCTGAACAAATTATACATGAACAGTTAGATGTATCATGAAGTAATGTGAAACATCGATTTTGGGATTAATTGGTGCATTTTTGAATATAATTTACAAAGACATATTACAGATTTCATCCTTCTGTGTCAAAAGCCTTCAGATCTAATTTGCTTTGGTAATGTAAAATTACTTTTTTCCAGAGCTCTGGCTTTGCAGCTTCATTCTAAAATGTGAAGGCTAAGCCCTAATTTGTATGTGACACAGAAGATACAAATTTTGAACTATGATTGTAGGGTTTGTTGAAGCAAAATGCTGATCTAATCCAACTAAGCTTTATGCAGGATGTAGTCCAAACTTCAACTGTGTAAACCCATATTGAAGCACTTTCTTTTACTGGGACTCCGTATCTTTTAACACCAAGTTGCTTGTAAATCATTCTCTTGGTGATGTATGTGCCAGAATGGAATTCAACTTACTCTGAATAAACTGCAAATTCTGCAAAATAGCTAGCTATCTTAAGTAACGTTATTGAGTAAAAAAAAAAAAATTAACAGAACCCCCCCAAAACCTCCAGTTTGCAATCTAATTTTTCTCTTTACACTCATTCCATTGATGCTCCAGTTCCTTTCTTGAATTTCAAAATTTCTTCAGGGGAAAAGTTGGTGAGCTTATACCAGTATGCATATTCTAAAACTGTAATGTAAAAAATAAGTTTCTAGATCTAGAACTTATTTTTGTTGTCAAACACTTATGCTTTCTCAGTTTTTTTGCTTATGACATTGTGTTAGGGTGCTTGTGTTTATGGAGCCCTTTAAGTTCTTTGAAGGTGAGATTCACAGAAATGGAAAGTTACGTTGATGCGTTAAATAACTCCTGTTCGGAAAAAGAGACATGAAATAAGAATGTAGTGAAGTTGCCTTGAGTTATTTCTTCAAACTAAATTTTCTTGTATCTGATAGGTTGGGCTATGCTCGCATATCTCATGCTGGTTTAAGTGATTCAGAAGTCCAGATGGCCAAATTTAGGATCCCAGATGACTTGGATAGCTATGTTGACAATGACAGAATTGTTACTGATCCCAGCCAAGTTCCTGAGGACATTCATTTCAATCCCAGGTCAGTATATCTCATAAGAAATTAAGAGGATGATAAACATGACATCTCGTGAAAGGGAAGTCTAGAAACAAAACCATTCTTAAAGTGGTCAGTACCAACTGAGCAGATTAGGAGGCAAGAACTTCTGATTTATAATTCCATTTTTTCAACTAACTTGGCATGTGCCTTGGGAAAATCAGTCTGCTGTGTCGTAGCATAAATTGAAGGTAATGCTTATTTCACCCAGGTGATTAATTTCTGAGATTGTTTGATAAGGGTATTTGCTAAGTGGTGTGGTGACTCATTTTATAGATGATGTTTGTCCCATGTTTCTCAGCACTTTTCAGGATGAGGGTCTTAATATACCCTTACTTAGAATGCAAAACACAATATATACATTAAATGCTCTTTGCATAAGCATTTTAAAACATACTATATAACTGGAGCAAATATTAAGGAGAACGCCTGAGACAGTATGTTACATATGTCGAGAAGAAAAAAGGGCTGGATTTTTACATAAAAAGTTATTTATTTCTAGAATGCTGTCATTTTTCTACTGGCATTGCGTAAAGAAGAGAAATACGGAGAAACGGATTTATTCTGCATCGAGTATCAGTGGAAGAGTCATGACGTGTGAGATAGATGTTGCCACAGAGAGACAATTTCCAGCAATGCCGTATTTGCTGCTTCTAACATGCACAATACAGAAGATATTAATTTCTTATATGCACCTAACAGTTGAACTTACTCACTTTTTATTTACCACTCAGTCACTGGCTTCCTGTCTAAGAAGGAGTTTGCCCAGGCTTTTCCACATGATGAAACTCGCCTAAAGTTAGCATTCACATTCAGATTTTTCTCAGATGATTTCAGCGCAGGATATTTTTCTTGTCCTCATTTCTTTTATGTATGCCTATAAGCAGAAAATTTATACCCTTTAGGAGTAAGTTTCACTTTTTCCTATTAACTATAGCTCTTTTGAAATGCAATGGCACTGCTCTTAAATGTTATTTAGCACTGGTATTTTGAGTAAAGTACTACATTTTACTGTGACAAATCTATCTACTGTAATAGTCGGTAGTCAGAACTTTCAGATTTAAACATGGCATTAAAAATTACAATTTTCACAATAATTTTCAATAGTAAAATGTGCAATATTAACAATAGGGTTGACTATTTGGATACTGTGGGGGATTAAATTCTATCTCCACTGCGGTCAGTAGAAAAAACTTAAAAGAGCATAGGGTTTAGCTAAATAAAAGCACCACTCACCTTTGTCAGCTGGAGTTCCATTTGTAGAGTGCCTATGGCATTAATCCAATCAGTGTAATTAAATGTCTCCATTATACTCAAAGACCTTTAGTTAGCATATGTAGATTATGACTTATATGTAAGCAGGGTTGTGGCCTGTTTCTGAACTAAACTGTCTAGAACATTCAGAAGAAGTGTTAATTATACTGTAGTTAAGTGTGTGATTTAATTGCATGGGTTAAATCATGTTGTAATGGTTTTGCTGTTGAATATTTTTCCTAGGTTTGGATCTTATAAAGATGGACATAATTATGAGCATATTCATCACTTTCATATGAGCACTCCTAAATATTTTAAGCAGACAAACTAGGCTGAGAAAGCAACGTATCACTGGGACCAACGAGAAAGGTTTGTTGCTTGAAACTGGATTGGCAGTCAAAAAGACTACATTTCTTGAGGACGAGCAACTCCCGTGCTGCATAACGCTGTGAATGTCTGTCTCATAGCTGGTGACTCTTCTCTTCACTGAGTTATCATGACTGTGAGAGAGGGAAGAAGCATGCATTTTGATAAACTGGTATCTACCTGGGCCAGATACCTCCTTTGTACGCGGCAAAGCAAGGGTGGGAACTTGCTTTGGCGATAACTTCTTCGACTTTTTTCAAGGTTTCCTGTATTATGTTGTTTCAGATTTGACTATAGCTACCTACCTTTTCTTTAGGGTCCAGATATGACCCCTTTCCTCTCCTAGGAGCTCACTGACACAATCATCAGCAAGGAATTTCAACTGACTGCCAGACTTTTTCAATGACTGAGGCAAAGCAAAATAACGTGGTAGTGTGGGTGACCTGTTGATACATGCTGTCCTTTGTAGTCCTGCTGCTCTTGCAATAAAAAGGCTGGCTTTAGGTTTTTCAAAATAGGAACGGGACTGGCGTATTTTTCCTTGGGAGATACGCAGTAACTGTGTGTTTACAGGATATACATTTTTGACCTACCGAAATGGTATATACATCTGCTGCTATTCCACATTTTATTCTTAAATGAGTTTTATTAGAACAATTTGCAGATGATCGATGTTCATAATATTGGAGAAGAGGCAGAGACTTTTACAGACTTTCATTTTTTAACAGGGCATTAGACACTGCAATGCTTTTACAAAGGGAAGAGTAAAGTACCTCTGAGTAGTTATTACTATGAGACACTTGTGTGAACACACTGCAGAAGAATTAAAAACAATTATGCTCAACATGACAAGGTTTCTGAGAAGCGAGAAAAGTTTGATTATAATTTTTATTTAAAGTGAACTGAAACACATTGTTCCTTTGCTAGCACTACACTTTTTAGTGGGACTAAATAGAAGTGGAGCTTTTTTTTTTTCTTTGGCCCAGGCAGTGAGTTACTTAACACAGTGCAAAATGTTGTATTTTCTCAGGGTCTCTTGGCAATGTCTTTTATATTTAACTCCTGATCCTTCAGTATGTGTGCAGAGCTTCCCTTAAACAATGAGGACATCTTCAGTGTTGTCCAAAGGAAGTTTTGTGCTTGTGAGAAACATGTTAGATGGTTTATTTAAATGATCCTCAACTTCGAAACCACATTTGTGATGTTGGTATGTAGTACTTGTGTGTCTTACCAGTAACACCTAAAGATACTGTAACTGAAAAGAATAGGACATGTTGCAAGACAGTGTGTTTTTTTCTCTTTCATTCTCTACTATGTGCTTTTGAGAACTGTTTGAGCATACTCGAATTTATTGTTTCTCTATGTAAGCAAATACAGGATGTGTCTTTACCCAGGGTTTCTTGTTCTATGGAGAACAAGGTAACTGCTGCCGTCACCAAGCTTGTCACTTTATCCTTGTCATCCATCCTTTTACTCCCTTGTTTTTAGGACTGTGTTTCTGAGAGTGAAGCACTTCATTGGTCTTTGTGGACAGAGGATATTTGAAAGGCCCTTGAGGAATACATAGCCACCACAACTCATCTCAAGTGGTGTTAGAAAGCCTGACTTTGTTAGTTACAACTAACCAGACATTGTTCAACTAATTTACTTCTCACCTAGAGGTGCTGTGGTTGTCTTTACAAGCCCAAGGAAGCCTCATTAAATGTTCCAGTTTGGATATCCTTTAGGAAGGATTTGAAATCCTCTGAACTTGTTCTCTGTGTGACTCTCCAGCAGGACAGGAGAAATTAGGTTTCAGAGTGACGGGAGTGACTTTCTTGCACTTTCAGCAGTTTTCTTCTGCAAACAGCAGTAGTAGCCCGTCTCTCCCTTCTCACAGCCTGCAACAGCAGCTGGCACTGGCATCAACACTGCACAGTGGCTCTGAGTATCCTGACTTCTTTGCAGCACGCTCTCATGCCAGCTCTGACGCACATCCAGCCACAGGTTTGCATTTCCACAGCTTGTACGAAACATAACATTAACTTGCCACATTACTTAATATTCCACACTGGCTGACTTTGCAAATGCCTTGTAATGTGAGCAGTTTATTCATGTGAGATGCAGGAAATGATACTCATAAACATAAAAAGCTTGAAAACCCCTTATTTTTTAACAGTTTAAAAATAGAATCAGGGTATTTTTCAAGAAGTCAGACACCAAAGCATGACTTGCATAACAGATCAGACTATATGTCATCTCTGTGTGTAATCTTCAAAGTCTGTGAGCATACTTGGATGGATTTTCACAGGATTTAGAAATGTTTGCCCCATTAGAAACGTGTTCACAGACATTGACAAAATCAAAGTTTGAATATTCTCTTCTTCTGAGTAGCTTGTGTAATTTAATGTTGGTAGATCTATACTTCATAATGCCTAATATCAGAAAACACTGTATGCAAATGTAATGAGTAGCAAGTATTTGCTGGCATTTGCATTATTTTATCAAAATTACTAAGAAAAGCTATGACCATGTACAGTTTGTGTACGGCATCTACTACTGTGGTTAGAATTGGGAAGCCAAAACTACACTTTATTTGTCCTTAAACCTCACATTGATCTAATCCTTCGTGCCTGACTGGTTTAGAAAAATGTGCAGTACATCTCTCAGTCGCAATCACTATGTTTCAAACTATGAAAGAAATGTGCTAGAACAGGTCCTGCTGCAGGGGCGTGTGACTAATCTTGCTGTTTTCTAATCATACTGTCTTCATCTCAGGTTTTGTAAGATTGTATGTTATGAAAGAAAAAGTTTATGGATATCTTTAACTGTGGATTCGGAGACAGTGTGAAAAGATAAAAAGGATAAAAAGTGTAAAATAGACATGTTTTATTTTCTGAAGGTTTGAACTTTTCCTGGCGGTAGAAGGTCTAGACTACATATATCTGACTTCTAAATAATGTGCACTCTGCTGTACTCCTAATTTCATCCTCTCTGACATTCTGTGCAGGTCAGTTAAAGTTTCTAGGAATACACAGGAAGAGACAGCAGTACATCAGGAGCCTAGCAGTGTGTATCTCAGAACAAGAAAGAAGGACTCTAGGTATAACATGTAAGAGAGCAACTTCGGAGAGTAATTGTGCTGGATTCTTCAGCAGGGTGGAGACTCCAGTCTCCTCTTACATATATTCCTGCTTTGGAGCCTTGACTCAGACATTCGCATGTGTATTTTAAGTTCAGCTTCAGGAGCAGTGGCTGTGGTGTTGTCACAGACCACTCTCAGACCTGGAAGCTGCGGTTCAAACCTCTTGGGCTTAAGAAAGACCTGAAATTTTTATTTCCCATTTTCAAAAAGGGTGTCGCAGCTACAAGCTTATTAAACAAAAGTTTGGCTCGCCCTTTGGTTTTGAACTAAAGTTGATGTTACTGAAACAAGTTATGTGTGGCTCAAGTGTGCAGGTGACAAGCTGCCTCATGTCTCACTGAAACAGAACATTGAAAACGTTCAGTGTCCTCTACTGACAGTGAGGGAGCTTCCTGGCCCCAGACAAGGGTGCTGGTTGTCTTGATGCATCTCCAGGGTTCAGGCAGAAATTCTGAGCTGCTCACTTAAGCTTGGCTGCTTAGTTTCCTAATTGTTAAGCACATTTTTTTTTTTTTTAATTTCAAACTGAAGCTGGAAAAGTTATAAATCAAATTTAAGGATTTAAATATGAGCTACCAACAGCCCCGAAGCATGGGTTTTTTTCTCATGTATGTAAAATTAATTTATTTGCAGGGTGTTACAAAAACACCCTTGGGGTCAAAGTCATTCATCTGTGGAGGAAGTGTAACAGAAGAAACCTTTTTACTTAAACAAGGAGCATAGTATGAGGCCATAGGAGAGGGCTGTTAAAATGAGCTGGATTAACGAGGGCTGGTTTGAAAGCAGTTATATAACCTGTAGCTGCTACTATCTGCCACCTGAGGTCCTCTTCTATCCCTGATCAGTACTGTTCTGCTGACACCAGGCAAGAATTACACACAGTTGAGGTGTTTCATTGTAACTCTGAGGTTGAAAAATCTTTTCAGAAACATTACATAAAGCTGTTTCTGTTGACTTGCGTATCAGTTACTTTTCATATCTGCAAATGATTTAGAACTGTGATTGCTGGGCTTCTGGTAGACAATTTGTTTCTTTTCTTACAATAGCTAGTACTGTGCTTTGTTGCTGCTTTATCTGCTTTGTTAATGTTCAGCAAATGCTGCTTTGCTAATTTTTTATTTCTAATATAATTCTCTTCCCCCTCTGACTTGTAAAACACATAATGGTTTGTGATTCTGGTGCCTAAAATTAACTTTCAAGCTTGTTTCTAAGCAAAGCACGACAAACAAAGGTATTTGAGAGACGCTGTGGCTTTAGCAATTTGGAGTCTGATACCTTTTGGAAACAGAGGGGATCCTCTTTCTCATAGACCCTTCTGCACTATGTTTCTGATAGTGAAGAAGATAAAACTGAGTAAATGGCTCCTCCTTCTCCTGTTAGCCAGTATTTTTCAGTCTGTGGTGGTTTTTTATATAGTTGTCATTTTAGCTATGAATTAAAAAAAAAGGCAACACAAATATAAAAAGGCAAACAATGACAGTCCTTCTCCTTAAAACAAAAAATAAAGTCTGCAGTTTTAAGTTTGATCTAGCAATTTGTAAATTGGCTGGTACATTTCGTGCCCCTCTTCAGTTCTTGGTTTATTATTCCTCTCCTGTGTGTTGATGGCAGCATTTGCACATATGTGTAGTGAGCCAGAGCAGGATATTCACCTGGCTGGGGAAACAAGCAAACAAATGAACAAAACAAAACAAAACAAATGTTGAGGGTTTGTTTTGTTTTTGTTTTGTTTTGTTTTCTTTTTGAGGGCATTAGGGGTAGTCTTGCTCTTTGATTTTTCTATCTAGCTGTCCAAGTGGCTGCATGGACACAAAAGAAAGGATGCCAGGAGGGCTGGGATTAAGAGGCTAATGCTGGAACTGCTTAAACTGTCTCTATCCTTGAGACAGTGCTTCATCAACCATGACCTGATTGATCTCCTCTATGTAAAATGAAGTATTTCTGCATTTTGTAAAGTCAGGCTTCAGAAAGAATATACAGGCGTGATGACATAATATCTGCCAGCCTGGAGACTTGCATAGTAGTTTACAACTAGAGGTAACAAAGGGGATATTTATACCTTCCTGAGGCTGGAACGAAGGTGCATGTTGTAATGGGCCTTGTTCTCGTGGGGCAGGCCTTTTCTGGCTTGAAGCACACATT